GCCCACGGCAGCGAATGTGGAAAAAACTACCTCAAAACACTCGACAGGATAGGGATCATGGTCTAGTTTTTCAGCGGTCGCAGGGAGCAACTTTAGACATTTCCGGCAACCAAGCGGTAACACCATCCACCCCGAGTTCCAGGCCCACTGAATCGAATGTGGTAAAAACTACCTCACGAACGTCGACAGGATAGTGATCGTGGTCTGGTTGTTCAGGAGACGCAAGTAGCAACTTTAGACATTCCCGATGACCAAGCAGTAACGCCATCCACTCCAAGATCCAGGCCCACTGCAGGGAATGTGGTCAAAACTACCTCACGACCCTCGACATGATAGCGATCATGGTCTAGTTGTTCAGGTGACGAGAGGAGCAACTTCAGACATTACGAACGACCAGGTTGTCACACCACCCACACCGAGCTCCACTCCCACAGCAGCGAATGTGGTCAAAACTACCTCAGGACCCTCGACAGGATAGCGATCATGGTCTAGTTGTTCAGGAAACGCAAGGAGAAATTTCAGGCTGCTCCAAAGACCAGGCAGTCACACCACCCACTCCGATTGCCAGGCCCACTGCAGCGCATGTGGTCAAAACTACCTCTTGACAACCGACAGGATAGTGATCATGGCCTAGTTGTTCAGGAGACGAGAGGAGCAACTTCAGACATTTCCAACGACCAGGTTGTCACACCACCCACTACGAGCTCCACTCCCATTGCAGCCAATGTGGCCAAACTAACTCACGATTCTCGACAGGATAGTGATCATTGTCTTGTTGTTCAGGAGACGCAAGGAGAAACTTCAGACAGTTCGGACGACAATGCCGGCACACCATCAACTCCGAGCTCCAGGCCCACTGCAGGGAATGTGGTTAAAACTACCTCACGACTCTCGACAGCATAGTGATCATTGTCTAGTTGTTCAGGAGACGCAAGGAGCAACTTCAGACAATTCGGACGACCATGCCGGCACACCATCACCTCCGAGATCCAGGCCCACTGCAGGGAATGTGTTCAAAATTACCTCACGACCCTCGACAGGATAGTGATCATGGTCTAGTTGTTCAGGAGATGCAAGGAGCAAATCCAGACATTTCGGACGACAATGCAGGCACACCATCAACTCCGAGCTCCAGGCCAAATGCAGGGAATGTGGTCAAAACTACCTCACGACACTCGACAGGTTAGCGATCATGGTCTAGTTGTTCAGGAAACGCAAGGAGAAATTTCAGGCTGCTCCAACGACCAGGCAGTCACACCAAAGACTCCGATTTCCAGGCCCACTGCAGCGCATGTGGTCAAAACAACCTTAAAACTCTCGACAGGATAGTGATCATCGTCTAGTTTATCAGCGGTAACAGGGAGCATCTTCAGACATTTCCGGCAAGCAAACAGTAACACCATCCAATAAGTGGTCCAGGCCCACGGCAGCGAATGTGGCCAATAGTACCTCAAAACTCTCGACAGGATAGTGATCGCGGTCTGGTTTATCAGCGGTCGCAGGGAGCAACTTCGGTTTTTTTCCGGCAACCAAGCAGTAACACCATCCACTACGAGTTCCAGGCACACTGAAGCGAATGTGTTTAAAACTACCTCACGACTTTCGACAGGATAGTGATCATGTTCTAGTTGTTCAGGAGACGCAAGGAGCAAATTCAGGCAGTTCGAACGACCAGGCAGTCACACCACCCACAACGAGCTCCAGGCCCACTGCAGCGAATTTGGCCAAAACTACCTCACGAATCTCGACAGGATAGTAATCATGGTCTAATTGTTAAGGAGACGCAAGGAGCAACTTCGCACAGTTCGGACGATCACGCAGGCATACTATCAACTCCGAGCTCCAGGCCCACTGCAGGGAATGTGGTCAAAATTACCTCACGACCCTCGACAGGATAGTGATCATGGTCTAATTGTTCAGGAAACGCAAGGAGCAAC